GCATTCCTGAGTTCACAAAGGTGCTATGGAAAAATAAATGAGCAGAAGTATTGCCCTCTATTTTGCTAGCATATTTCAATAGAAATCAATCTGTTTAGTAGTCATAAAAGCAAGGAGCTGATTGTTTGAGGATGGAAGAATATTCTACCAGTGGCTCAGAAGTTCTGCTGCCGCCGCTTCTTGGCTTCAATGGCATCGAGGATCGGCTGCCGCTTTGACTGGTACTTCTGGCGGATTTCTTCAATCTCCTGCTCCATCATGGGGTCCAGGGCTGAGAGCCTCCTCTGAAGTTCATCAACACTCCAAGTCTTTAGCTAGCAGGGAGATGAAAGAAGAACAGACATCAACATCAGCACAGCCACCACCCACACATCTACAGGGATTTTGCTGCCCATCTGATGGTCACAACGCGTCTTCCAGTAGAAGAAGGTGGAAGAGTTCTGCTGCAGGCTGCTGGGCTCCTCTCTCAATGAGACTGGCATGAGCCTCAGGATACTGGGCTGCTTTTGCTCATTTTACAGATATATTACATGCCCTGTTCAGTGACAGCATGAGCGTATAAAACAAGCAATGAAATGTTTCCCCCATTGAGTTGTTTTTCTAACGCTTCGTTTTGCAGGCTTAGAACAGAAATACTGTACTGAGATGGAATAGAAGTGAAGTTCTCTCCCCCTCCCTTGCAACTAAACTTCCTTCTTGTAAGTGACAAGGAAACAGAAGGGAATAGGAAGAAAAAAATCATTGACAAAAGTTGCATTTGAAAAAAAAACCCCAAGCATTTATGTACAATCAGGTTGAACCTTAATCATGGTGAGGAATTCAAACTCCTCTAAGTTAGAAATCCCAGAACACACACAACAGGTCATTTTGGGTCAGCCTCACACTGATATAATATGCAAGTACAATTTGTGTTTTACTGTACACGTGAAGATGTCAGGCTAGTCTACACAAGCTTGCCTTCACTGAATTCCCTACCTGCCTGCCCTTTAATTTGTTCTCTTGTGCATGCCGATTTGCTGAGAACTGGCACAGAAAAGTTTTATTCTGTGATGAGAGATGCCAAGTGTGGCCTGGGACAGTTTAGATTGTCCATAGCTACACCCTTTACATAACATTATAATATTATAACCTGTGGAACAGACAGGATTTTAGGATTATGGTAAAAAATATGGACACTGGAAGTACTTCAGATGTTCACCTAAGCACCAGTCCTTTTCCCATCCAAGACCAAGTGACCCCCAGAAACACACGGGAGACACTGTTTTACAGACACTGCAGCAGGATGGCAATGACTACTTGCACCACCTGCTTTCAGTGACCACCTGCTGTGGAAACTAAGAACAAGCAAAATAATTCGTTTTTTTTTTGTGAACAAAGAAGTGTCAATTTTTAGACTTTCAACAAATGTCGTAATTGAGTGACTTATCTTTACTTCAGTTAAATGCAAGTGACACTGCTGTCCTGGTTTAGCTGTTAATTAGTCAGCTATCATGGTTATTCTTCAAGCCATTTCTGAACCAAAAATCAGAGTGAAACACTTGCTGCGTATTATAAGGCAACAACTGAATTACTAGCTGTTGAATGGCAGTTATATAGTTTGTATCTGTCCTTAAAAACATATGTAAATACTAAAATACGGAAATCCTGATCCTTCTTCCAGAGGTAGAAGAGATACCAGTCCCCAAACCACAAAGTCATCTGTTAGCTGATTTCTCACAAGGTCTTTTGAAATTCTTTAGCATATTCCGCTAAATAAGATATTTCCTAGTTGCAGTTACAGGATCATAAATCCACTTTAATAATCTAGGCACAAGCAAAACAAAACCTTTTTAGCAAGGGTATACAGTCTTTCGGCCTCTCCAATCAGCCAACTGTTCATTAGAAAGACAAAGCACTTCCTCCACAAAGATGTACATTATTTATACACATTAATGCAACTTTACCAGACAGCAGTTTAAGTTGATGCATGGCACCGGTTGCCTTTTCACACTAACTTATTATGGAGCAGGTAATTATTCAACATTCCCCTTCCCCACAGTCCAGGGAATTGAACAGCCAAATAAAAACGCAAAAAAGAAAACATTAATTCAAGTACTGAATACATATACTAAGCAGCTATATTGGATCAAATGGCTGTCAGCTCTCACAGAGTACCCAGTGCTAGAATACTAAAAGAGAGTTTCGGAATGGATCCAAACGACCTTGCTCAGGGCTTAAGCCAACTATTAGGTGTCAGAAATTGTCCCGAGGCTGCATCTTCCATGGACACCTTTTGAGCATTCTCCATCATGCTCCCAAGCAGCTGGGTGCTGCTTACAGCCAGAGACAAATCGCGAGAGTCGGCGGACCAGAAGGCAGAGCAGATTTATAGCAATGCCCCAAGAACGTGGCAATAAGAAATAAGAACTGCCCTAGGAATGATCTAGCATCATGGGACACCCCCTGTGGATACCGACATACAAAGTCTTTCTGCTAACTATAAGCAACTGCTTGCCAAGGGACGCGATGGCTTTGACAATTCCTGGGACTGTGTGTTTGTCAGGACAGATGGCTAACAGCACAGAAGATGCTTAGAGTAGAGCTAAGTCTGGAGTGGGCAAAAGCCTACAGATATATATTAATATGAACAAATTGCGAAGTGGGCTACCTGCGCAGATGTGTGATGCAGAACCAAGTAGCTACTTAAGGAGACTGATCACGGGTTAAACGGGGATGGTGGGAGAAGGAAGAGAGGCAAGTTGACGCAGTGCAAAAATCTAAGAGCACAGAAACACATCCTGTGCGTAATGCTGTGTGTTGATGAGGATGAACTAATTACGGAGTTTTTATCTGGAATAATGTCAGCGTGACTGCGAATGCCATGCTGTTCCTAAAAGAGGCAGAGAAGCCAAAGAGCAACACTAGTAAAAGGTCCAGAACGTGGCTGTTCACCACGGATGAGCCAATGAGACTGACAGGAGTCCAATTACTAATAAATGAGAGCCAAGCACCCACGCAGTTGCAGAGGACGCCTAGCCCTCTGCTCCCACTGTGTTTCAGGCCCGCAATAACACAAGCCCTGGGACCTGGGCTGGGCTATTATTTAGCTTGCCCTTCCACTTGCACATGCATCTTTAAAAGAAAAAAAAAGCAAACAAACAACAACAAAAAAAGAGAACTGTTTAAAATGTGATGGCCTCCATTTCACTTTGCTGCATGGCATTTCACTGTAAGCCAATGCCGCAGACAGACTTTCTCCCAGAAATTAAGTCTTTAAACTCTAGCACATCTGTCTCTGCAGTGGTAGACTCTTGGGATACTGACGTTATTCTCTTAAAGAAATGCCAGAAGCAAAATAAGAAAAGATGGACAAGGACAGAGCATCTCATGACAGACAGTTACTCAGGGTAAAGTCTCAGTGCTGAACAGCTGCAATTAGAGCTGGTTTTAGCCACGGGCTCAGTCCCATCCCTCTCCTCACTTCTCCTCAGCAATTCTTCTGTTGTAAGAAGTCTAAGTGTCTTTGTAAAAGCTATCTATTTTTGTCCACAGTGATCAAATAGCTAAGACAAACTTTTAAAGGAAGGAATCTCATTTCAGATGTAAAGACTGATATAAAATACTTGTTATAAGATTGGTCAAACACATCTATCAACAGGGAGAGGCGGTAGCACAGCAAAACTGTTCAAGCAAGGTTGTATGTGCAGAAAGCTAATTTTTAACCGTTTGATTAACAGTTGTATTTTTACTCAAGGTTTTGAGAACGATCTTAACTCTGTAAAAATGCCCAACTGAAGACAAATGTCAGAGGTGCAAGTCTTCACCTGAAAGCCTCTCGCCCACAGCCACGCGTGCCGTTCGTTGCTCCTCAGGCTGCAGACACCAGTGACAGCAACATCTTGTTTTACTATGCTGATGATTTCTACTATATAATTCAGAAGGACATATGTAATTACGCCCTTCAGAAGGACATAACCTACAGCCTTTCCATGCATATATAATAATGATGGACTAATCAGGAACAGATCATTTGATACACAATTTATTCCTCAAGGAGATTTGTAAGCTATTCATGACATCTCCTTGCCAGCATTTCAGACAGACTTGTGGATAACTACTCCGCTGAACAATGTTCACCTCAGCAAATTGCTTCTGAGTTGCCGTCCTTTCAAATCAGCATTTTAAAAATAGGGAAAAAAAAAAATACCCCTTGCATTTGTTACAGTCAGGTAAAGTGTCACTGCAACACAGTATTCTAGTGAATGTAAATGAATCTAAGTAGCAAGAGGAAAACAAATAAATGCTCTCTGCAGACAAGTTAGACATAGCCACAGGTTCGATATTCAAGGGTACCATGGTCTGAAATTTATACCTATGCAGTTCTGACCTGAGCAAGAGGCGGTCTAAAAACCTGCCATGGTATTTTTAAACAGACCATGCCAGATTTGTATTTCAGGCAAGATCTACTGTAAAACACAAAGCTTAGAGAATTAGCTCAGCCCCTTCCCTGTCCCCAAGAAAACCAAACAAAAAACCCAAACAGTGAAAACTTTTTGAATTAGAAGCCGATGCAAATGATTTACCACAGTTCTCTTGGTATCCGTAGGCCTAACATGAAGAGTACCCATGCCTAGTTTTCCTACAGCAGGGTCTGTAGCTTGACCATTTTGGGACCTAGCATGCTCCTCTGGTCCCTCAACGGCCCTTCAGCAGCACAAGGTCACCACTGACTCGGACCAGTCTGCACTACTGACTTAAATACTGATGTTGTCCACTAATCCCCGAGTCACTTCAGCTATCATTCTTATTTGCTCCTTTACCAAAAACACTGCCAGCAAAATCCTCTTGCTGCATGAATTATGAGCATCAAATAGAAACGAGCTGTTTCCCAGCAGCTTTCACACATTTCTCCCCCAACAAAGAGTTTTGGCAGAGCACTAACTCACCGGCTGCACAGGAATCAAAAAATATTATCTTGGGGCAAGTGAAAAACATATTCCTCCTGCAACTTTCTTTTTACTTGCTGACACTTAATCTGATCCCTAGATTTAGCACAAAGCCTTTTCTTTGCATCTTTGCAATGTTTCATGCTATCTGGACTTTGTTTTTAAATACTGTCTTAGAAGTCCTGAAGCTTGTGCCAAACATGAACCCTCCATCTCCAGGGAGGGGATGCAGTTGTTCTACCATCATCTTTCAAACATGCAGACGCACCCTGACTTCTGGAACAAAATCAGAATATATATATCATGGGTGAGATGGGGTTATTTTTCTCACAGTGAAAGTATTTGAACGGTTTTGCAGAAGGAGGGTATTTTCAAGTCTTGATACTACA